GGGAGGAGAGATCGAGTTGATGTAGGAGAACGGAGACCAGGACGAGCTGCAGCTCAGAGGGCTACTCAGAGAATTGCAGAACAATTGCAAGAAGAAGAGAATTGATAAACTGAACTGCGGTCGAGTATAAACCGGACTGTCACATAGCGAATCGGATCAGTTTCATGTTGCGTTTGATTGTAAAAATTGTGTGCTACAATTTTTAGGGGAGTTGTGTACAAGAGTTTTACCAAGCCCACCCCTCACAGTTTAGTGACGTTCAGCAGTACTACCAAATAAGGTGGTGAGCACGTGCGTGTGAAAAGAAAAAGAACAAGAAGGTTGTGAGAGCGCGAGTTTAAGGTAAGTTTTTCCATGGAATTTAGTGAGAGTTTCGTGAATTAGATTGAAGCGGAATAAACCAGGAAATTGTGTTATTGTGAGTTCTATGGGCTGTTTTATTGTTCAGCTCAATTTATTGTCCTTTGTTGGGAAACGAATACATATACCTCATCTGTGTTTGTCCAGTTGGTTACCTATTAAATATTTGCTCTAACGAAGGGCCAACACTTGAAATACCACCTTCAGAAACTCTTAACTGTGGTCGATTTATATTGTCAACTCGGTTAATAGCCTGCGAAGCAAACCCTGGGGGAGAGGAGGGGGTATTGGGGTGAGTGGAATGTGCAGAGGGGAGAGGGAGGGCTTGCCACAAACCCCCACTAACCAACGAAATTTCCGATCTCGTAAGGACGAAAAATTCCCATTGGCTGGGAGCAACACGTTGTCAATCAACCCTCGAACTAAACAGTCTTTGTGGTGACTACCTTTTAGAAAATGGCGGACAACGGTGATTTCGAGTAGTTCTGCCCTCAAGAATCGATGTCGAAGTAGAATATTTGTGGCAGCCATCCACTGGTTCAAACTCAGGGCCTTAATAAGAATGGCGTCTTCATTCTCAAACTTTCCCTTAACCACAACATTGCAAAGCTGATGGACGTTGGATCCAAATCATCAATGTTTAAATTTGTATCCATGGCTGAAGTTGTGGGTTGTCCTTTGCTCGGCGAGTCAAACAACGCTTCCCTGCTAGATGTAGGTTTTGTGTGTGCCGGGAAGTGGACACGCAAGCTCTTTCTACCTGCACTTTTTCCTGTCGGTATTGAGAACTTTCATTTCAATGAAACATCACAGGAATCCGGACATTGAGAAGCGGCCTTATTCAACAGTTCATAAAACTGGCAAAAACTGTTAGCTTTTCTTGCACAAGGAAGGCATATAATTTGAGATATGTCCGATTTATTTTCGAAGTGAAAACCGACCGTTCGAAGGCGATTGGTGAAGATACACATCCCTTTGACTCTGATTAAAAATACATATGATGCACGATCCTCGCAGTAGAGAGCACTATTTATGCAATAGCGAAAATCAGACCTGAAAAAAATCAGGCCTGTACGGGATTCGAACCACTGACCTCTGCGATACTAGTGCAGCGCTCTACCAATTGAGCTAACAAGCCAACTGGGAGCAGGCCATCAAATTAATTCGATATAAACCCGTAGATGATAAATCGAA